GATGTCAGTCGATTGATGGATGGCTTTTCCGGGGATAATAATCCCTTCAAAAAAATAAGAAATAATTTAGTCACTCAATCCTCGACTGTTTGTGGGACACCTCTGTGCGCAAGTGGCTGCTGAGTTTTGCCCATAAAATACACAATTCACCTTACGGTATGTTCTGTGAAAACATTTTTTTTCGGGGGCGGGTGGGGAGGGGGGAATTCTTAGCCCCAGAAAGTGATCCGCCAATCGACTAACGACTGAGTTCCTACTTACTGCTGGCGTCTGTGTGTGGAGTAAAGGAGTAAGGAAACTTCTCTGACCAGCCGGGAATCAAACCCTGGTCCTCTTGCTTGCGAGGCGAGCGCTGTAACTATATGCTGCTGCGCTCCACAGCCCCATACTGGATGGGAGATGGGGCGGCAGGGGAGGGGAGTGGGGTATTGAGACCCCTGTGTTAGACATTTGAAGGGTGGGGAACAAGGCTGTTTCTCTCTGTGCCACCCGGTATTGAGAAGGTCTCTGCCGTCGGCTGGGCTGAGAGCTGCCTTGTTCTCAGGAGCTGACTGACATCCCACCTCCACCCCCTCACGGCACAAACGACCTGATGTACAGCGGGCACAATGCTTGGCATTCCCAGGGTCACCGAGCCGGGCATTCCTGTGTGGGACACCGGGCCCTGGCTGGTGAGCGAGTGAGCGCTCAGTGGATGATCAGCAGAGGAGAGATGAGAAAACAATGCTCTCAGTCGGGTATTAATAGCAGCCCGGCTCGGCATTTCAGCACATGTCACGCTGCTGAGGTCTGATGGACGCAAGGATCCGTAAAAGGAAATCCTGGCTCTCTCTCTGATAAGCCTGAGAGGGGCCGACCGGGCGGTGGGGTGGCGGGTATCATGGCAGGAAGTGCGGGGGGGAGGGGGCTTCGTTTGAGGTGAGGGGAGATGGGAGAGGGAGGGAGCGGAGAGATGAAGTAGAGCAGAAGAGGGAGAATGTGGCAGGACGAGGAGCGGAAAGTGAAGGGAGGGATGGTGGGGCGGGGGGGGAAGTGGGGAGGGGGGGAATCGGAGAGGAAGTGGTGTGAGAGGGAGGAAATGGATGGGGAAGAAGTTGAAGGGGAGGGAGAGGATGCGGAGAGGGAAAGGGAGGGAATTGAGTAGGGACGGAGGGGAAGTGGAGAGCAGAGGAGTTGGACGGAGGAGAGGCCGTGGGGGAAGAGAGGAGGAGGGGTGGAGGAGGAAGGGGGGAAACGGAGGAGTTGGGGGGTGGGTGTTGAGATGGAAAGTGTGAATCGATCGCCACGAACAAGATGTTCTTTGTGACACTCTTCATTAGGAGGAGGCAGTTTCTCCCGGTGCTTAAGCCAATAAACCTCATGGTTAAAGAGTATCTGAACCAAACTACCGAGAACGTGCCCACAAGAGAATGGAATGCACACTCGCTCCCTGGAGGGACGCCTCCTGCTCACCTCATCCCAGAGCGTATTAGGCGTGGGGTCGGGGGGAAGAGCCAAGGCTTGGGGGACCTCCAGAGTGTGCGTTGGGGGAACTGCTGGAGTCTAACCACAGCTAAAACCATATAACTTGCCATTGAGAGCCCTGTCTTCCCGCTGCTTGTCCAACTAGGACCACCCTACCCGTTAGGGCTTTAGTTTGCAGGGTTAACAGGAGCTGAGTGGGAAGAGTCCCAAGTGTTTCCCTTCGTAAATAGTCGATTCAGTCTTCATACTCGGCTTATCCATATCCCTTCAAGTCTCTATCTTTCATACACCCATGGAGTCTTGAAACCCTCCAGGAGAAACCCACAGTGGAGTCCTGTAGCTCAGTGGTTGGACCACTTGCCTCGCAAATTACTCCACAAGCTTCTGTTAACCCAGGAACCCGGTTGTTAGTCGATTGATGGATCACTTTTCCGGGGGTTAATAATTCTTTCCAAAAAAAAAATTGGGCGCTGCAATCCACAGCTGTTTGTGGGGACGCTGCTGTGCGCAATTGGCCGCCGCGTTTTGCCCACAAATATACAGTCAATTCACTTTACAGTATCTCCTGTGAAGCGCTTTGAGACGTCTCGAAGATGTGATGAGGCGCTGTATCAAATGCAAGGATTATTATTATTATTATTATTATCTCGTGTCTAACTTCCATCCCTGTGGAAATAACATTGCAATTTATGTTTATACAGCGCCTTTATTTGTGGTCTGATAACAATATATATATTTAATAATAATCCTTGCATTTGATAGAGCGCCTTATCACATTGTTCCAATGTCTCAAAGCGCTTTGCAGAACATATTGTAAAGTGTGTATTTTGTCGACGAAACGCGGCAGCCAATTGCGCACAGCAATGCCCCGGAAACAGTCGTGGATTGAGGTGACTAAATTATTATGATTATTATTATTTTTGAAGGGATTATTACCCTTCGGAATCCGCCAATCGACGAACAAGTAAGGAAATTTGCCTAAGGTTTCGCCGTGCCGGCCCAGGTCCTCTCCCTACTGAACCACTGGGTTACAGGACTCCAAATTAATATTTAACATGAATATTTCCTGACACCGTGAGTGTGTTTTATTACTCCTTTAGCGGTGGTGTTTCTGAGCCTGAGCCAGTAACTCGAGCAAAACCAGTGAGCTCAGGGGAGATAGCAATAGCCCTGGAAACGCCGTCATTTTAAGGGTGCACTGCACTGAGCTGAACCCATTGCTATGGTAATAAATCACGTTCATGCATTAAGCTCTTACTGTAATTACACTATATTTTTTCTCACTCTCACTCTCTCTCTCTCTCTCTCTCTCTGTCCCCTGGTGATTCGAGGAAAGCGAGAGAGAGAGAGAGAGAGAGAGAGCTGCTCTAAAGAGCTTACGTTGAACCTCTTTCGTCAGTCAAAAAGGTTTCGTTGGCACCTCAGGAGATAGTGGACAAGGTCGTGTGAGCAGCCGTGCCAGGGTGAAGACCATCACCCCGTTAAGGCGATAAGACCAACAGTTAAGGCGTTAAAGGGACCCGGGGCACGATTCGAGAAGGGAGTTTCGCTCTCTCTCTCTCTCTCCCTCGGTGTCCTGGCCAACAATTCCCCCGGACACAAATGACCGTTCGCCCACACAATACGCAGTCGATTCGCTTTACGCTGTATCCCGTGAGGCAGCTTTGAGACGTCTCGAAGACGTGATAAGGCGCTGGATCAAATGCAAGGATTATTATTATAATTATTATTATTATGCACTTTATGGCTGTTCGTGGACCATTGCCGTGTAGACGAGCTGCCGCCTTTGCTTACAAGAATACACAGTCACACTTTGAACAACTCCTCCTGACGTGAAAGGCGCTTTTAATGTAATTTTAATGTAATTAATGCTTTTGATTGTGAGGCGATTGCCTCGTTGACGCCCCTCATGTTGTAATCTCGTCACTGCAGGTACTCTGTGCGGGACTCAGTTATTTACTTGCAGTGCAGGCGGAGCTTGTAACAATGGGCGGGGCTTGTTCTGACGGGTGGGGTTTATAACGATGGGAGGAGCTTTGAAGCCAGGGGAGGAGCTTTGAAGCCAGGGGAGGAGCTTTGAAGAAAGGGGAGGAGCTTTGAAGCCAGGGGAGGAGCTTTGCAGCCAGGGGAGGAGCTTGTGTGTACCTTAAGCAAAACTGCCATACATATGTGATGAGCTTCTTTAGATCATAGATCATCAATGATAGGAGATTCCCCCCCAGAAAAATATGCCCATGGCACTCTCGCACACAAGCCCTTTCTGATGAGCTATAAATCATGTCTCTACGTCAATCGGTTGTTGGGTTATTGGCAGACAGACCGACATTTCGTCTTTATTAGTATAGGTAGATAGATGTCGAGGGGAAAAAAAAACAACCTGGAGCCCAGCGTCAGGCCTGGAATTAACAAAATAAATAAACCCTTGCCTCAGGGTTAAACAAAATGGCAGCACGGGACCTAGAGAGGGGCACTGGTAATTATTGGAGGAGGGAAAGGCCGTTCTATAGTTACTGCCATGAAAAGTAGTTGCCTCTACCCTGTGTGCGTAAGCCCATGCACCCTTTACTCTGGAGCTCGCGGTTATATAAAGGATATTATTGCAGTTCAGTTTATCCGTGCCCCTTGGATCAAGACTCGCTCACTAACCAGGAGAACTCACTTTAGAATGATAAATCCCCACCGAGCATTTGCCAAATCAACCTGCTCCAGTTCAAGCCAGCTGCTGATGTGAAGGGACGGAACATCTGGCAATGTTCTGCGGTTTAACGGTCCTCCAACGAACGTGGCCAACCTCCAATTCTACGCTTGTAGTGCTCGAACGTCAATTAAGCAATACAGCGCTCGCATTTAATTGACGTCCGAGCACTGCAAGCGTAGAATCGTGGAAATGTGCGCCATCGAGTTCTGCACTGGCTCTCGACGCAAACTGTCCATTCAATCTCACTACCTGCTCAAAGTTCCCAACGTGGACCCAAAGTCTTCTGATTCGGAGGGAAGAGCGCTGCCAACCGAGCCAGGGCGACAAGCGGCAGGAAACTGTGGCTCATCCAGGTCTTGATGTCTCACAGGGAAGCAGATTTTTCAGTCCAGTGTCTGAAACTGGCGGAAACCCATCCCCACGGTTAAAAGTTTCCAAAGCCTAACTGAGAATTTCATGCGTCACATGGAAAATCTAGAGATAGATGGCTGGAATGGAATGGAATGCTCTCTCTCTCTCTCTCTCCCTCTCTCTCTTTCCTCCTCCTGTTTACCGAATTCCGGAAAGTATTAGGCGCAGGTTGGCGAGAGCCAAGGCTTGTGGGGGGTGGGGGGTGGGGGGGGAGCCCAGAGTGTGCGTTGGGGTAACTGCTGGAGTCTAACCAGCTAAACCCACGCACACAGCTCGGCCATCGAGAGCGCTGTCTGGCAGGGAAGTAGAGAGAACGGAATCAAGAGTGGGAAATTAGGTTTGGGTGTTGTTTGTGTGTATGTGGGCATTAATCCGGTTGGTAACAAAAGCGATTAAGTGTGTCCGTGCGCTTGCTATTCCTCTCCAGAAACTGGATGAACTCTCCAGCAGTTCGGAAGGAAGCACGGTGGACCTGGAAAACGCTGGGGATGCGGATGATCAGTATTCTGAGCAAACGGAAGAGGCCGTGGACCCGGAAGATTGCTTCACGGAAGGTAAGCAGAGACCCGGGTCTTTAACGCGTGCGGAGTCCCGTAGCTTAAACCCTCGCAAGCGAGAGTACCCGGGGTTCGATTCCCGGGCGGGCAGGGCAAAACCTTAACCAAGTCTTCCTTACTCCACACACACACACACGCCTCTGTTTACCCAGCAGTATGTAGGGACCCAAGTGTTATAGTCGATTGATGGATCGCTTTTGGGGGTAATAATCCCCTCAAAGAAATAATAATAATTCGGTCACTCAATCCACGACCATTTGTGGGGACGCTGCTGTGCGCAAATTGGCTGCCGCGCTTCGCCCGCAAATTTCCAACGGTCGCAAATGTTGAGCAGTGAAACTCAACAAAAAAAATAACGATCCTCGCAGTTTGATACAGCACCTTTCACATCGGGGAGGACGTCTCAAAGCGCTTCACAGGACCTACTGGGAAGTGTTGTGACTGTGTAGTTTGTAGGCAAACTCGGCGGTCGGTTTGCGCACAGCGGTAGACAGCCACGAAGTGGATGATCAACTTTATCTGGGGTGTGATTGCTGGCCAGGGATCTCTAATGGCCACCTCAACGGGCAGATGGCACCCTGGTTTAACGTCTCGCAAGAGGGACGGCACCTCCGCCAATGCAGCTCGTTTCCCCCCAGCGCTGCATCGGAGTGTCAGCCTCGACTACATGCGTTCACGGGGCTCGAATCCACAACTTCTGACACAAAGGCAATTGCTACCAACTGAGCCTTTAGCTGACGAACGATAGCCCACCTTAGCACCGTGTTTTCTCATCGCACCTTGTAATGACGCCTATACCAACTAGTGACTATCTTCTGGTGGGAGGGGGGAGGTGAGAATCGTATCCTTAGAGCTATCCTTGGATCCTTGAATCCCCCCCCCCCCCCATGGTGGTCTCGGTTGTCCGGTTCCTGATCCACAGTATTCCGGGCCCCAACTGTCTGGCTCATCGGCAGGACCTGGAAAGGCAGACCAGTCACTGTGGGCGGGGAATCCTCCCACTCAGCTCCTGTTACCCCTGCAAACCAAAGCCAAATCGGGTAGGTTGGTCCTAGGTGGACGAGAAGCAGCAGAGCTTGGCCAGACAGTAATAACCGCTGAGTTTCTGTCCGCTGGTTCTCCTGGATCGCTCCAGTGGAGATAGATTTGGTTGTTCTGCTTTCGGCCACCTCTCCTACCCTTCCACGCCTCTTGAATCCAACACCCAGCTCGGGTGCAAACCCTTAACTGTCTAGCGCCTTGGGACATCCTCGTTCGAAGTGAAAGGCGCAAAATAAATGTAATTTTGTTGCTGTTGAGGAAGCCAATTCGAGTGCAGTACAAACTGCCGTGAGATGAACGGCAAGGTAGTCAGTCACCATGTTTAGGAGGAGGAGGAGGAGGAGGAGGAGGAGGGAAATCAGAACGAACAGTGAACCCTGGAAATCCAAAGGACATCTAAACGAAGGGTATCTCATTTCACCTGGTTTCACCGTTAAACAATACGTGAGCCACTCTGCAAGTGAAATGATGGGATCGTCGGGGCTTAATGGACTTGTAAAGCATCTGATATCAATTATTAATGCCTCAAACTAACCTCCCAGTCATATCAATCTCTTGGCAGAGAGAAGGCAGTGTGTGTGTGTGTGGATCGGTTTTGAGCATGTAAAGTCAGTGGAAGTCAATATGCAGGGAAGGCTTAAATGTTACAGCAGATTATGTCTTAAGTTGCTTTGGTTCAGTAATTGTGCCTTAGGGGGGGTGGGGAGTGGGGGATGAGGGAGAGAGGAGGGGAAGGAGCACATTCATTGGGTTGGGTTTCAACACAAGTAATGGAGTAATGGCTCCAAGTTAGGTCGGGGTATTAAGGGATACGGGGCAAGGGCAGGTAACTGGACTTGAGGTACAGATCAGCCATGATCTTATACAATGGCGGAACAGGCTCGAGGGGCTGAATGGCCTCCTCCCGTTTCTATGCGCCCATGTCTCTACCTACACGTGGAAATTCCCGTGTCTGGAATGGAATGTGAACTCTCAACCCGCTCGTCTAATTCCAGAGGGTATTAGGCTCAGGTTCTGTAAGAGCAAAGGCTTGGGGGAAACCCAAGAATGCGGATTGGGGGGGGGGGGGCACGTGGGGGGCACGGTTAGCAGCTGGAGTTTTTGCAGCCCCCAAAAAATACACAGATTGTCATCGAGAACACTGTCTGGTAAGCTTCCTCCTGTCTGTCCAGCGATGACCATCCTACTCATTTGGGCTGTTGTTGTGCTGGGTTAACAGAGGCTGAGTGGGATGATTCCTTGGCTCCGATATGCTGGAAGGAGGATATAATCATATCACTTGCAGTAATTGTTTGATTGCTCTGCATGTAGGACATTAAGTCTCTGAGCAGGAAACGTGAGGAGATCAGTTACATAACCTCAGTAATCACACTGAAAGGCCTCAGCATTATTATTGCTAATGCTGGATTAGACATAAGTGAGACCGGAGTTATTTGTTAAATTGAAATCTCCCTCCCGCGCGCCCCCCCCCCCCCCACCCACCCCACCTCCGAACGCAATCTGTTTCATCTGAACTGAACTCTTCCCACACCCCACACCCCCAGGCTGTTCCTTTCCTTGAATTCAGCTCCTCGAGCCTGTTCCAATATTCTCTTAGATCATGGCTGATCTGTACCTCAACTCCAATTGACCACCTTTTCCTCATATCCCTTGATTCCCTGACGTAGCAAACAGATGTATCTATCCGCCTCAGTCTTGAAAATGTTAATGGATTCAGCATCCACGGCCTTTTGAGGAAGACAATTCTAGGAATAAGAGTTCAGTCACCATCAATTCCCTTTACACTATATTCTGTGAAGCTCTTCGAGACGTCTCAACGATGTAATAACATGCTATGACGAATGCAAGTATTATTATTATTATTCGACCAACAGAACAGGCTCAGGGGGCTGAATAAAGAGAGACTGGGTCATTTGCCTGGGACTGTGCGCAGTGATATTGCAGAGTAATGTGCCAGGCACTCTGCAGATTGTTTTCATACCAGCTGATAACCAGCCCGGTCACGGGGCCCATCTCCAAAGCAGCGGATAACAGGCCTAGCACATTCCTGCTCAGCTCGTGGAGGGCATGGCCCCTTGGCGATGCCTTGCCCACAATTGTACCGCAGTTCAACACTTTGAGTGGCAAAATGTTAATCCTACCATCCCTAATGGCTAAGGGTGGTCCTGGCTGGACAAGCAGCGGAAAGCTTGCCAGACAGTGAGAGAAGTCTCTGCTCGGAGTCCTGTAGCTCAGTGGTTAGAGCGCTGCTCGCCTCGCGAGCGAGAGGACCCGGATTCGATTCCCGGGCGCAACCTTGGGCAAGTTTCCTTACTCCACACACACGCTTCCTGTGTCACTGTGCCAACTGTATCACCACAAGCCGCTGTTTGGTGTGAGCGTATGTTCCTGGGCTGTGCCTCGTGAACACCAGCAGGAAAAGGGTCTGTGGATCATCTAACAACCCCCTCCCAACCAACAATTCCTTGTTTTGTTTTCTTTTTTGCCAGTGTGCGTGCGCCATTGCTCCTGCTGCCAGATAGACACCTTGTCGGGGATAGGCAGGCTGTGGTGGAACCTGAGGAAGACCTGCTTCAGGATCGTGGAGCACAACTGGTTTGAAACCTTCATCATCTTCATGATTCTCCTCAGCAGCGGGGCTTTGGTAAGCTGGACAGCGGTTGGGTTTCCTGTAGCCTGTGGTCTTTGTGGTGGACTGTGTGTTTTTTGTAGGCCAACGTGGCAAACAGACTTCACACCAAAGAATAGAGATTCACAGTTACTACGCGTCACCGTACAAATCCCGTGAAGGGCTCTGAGATGTCCCAACGACGAGATGATAAGGTGCTTGTGTCACGCGAGAGTTATCATACAATTGGGGGGTGAGATAGTGTCACCAATGGTCAGTCCGTGTATTGCAACAGCTTTAGTGCGAAGGAATAATAATAATAATAATAATCCTTGCATTCGATACATCGCCTTATCACATCTTCGAGACGCCTCAGAGCGCTCCACGGGAGATACCGCAAAGTGGGGGCGACTGTGCGTCTTGCGGGCGAAACGCGCTGAACGCAGACTGAACCCCGACCGACCGACAGCGATAGCAATCGTCGCATTGGTCGCCGTTCCTTTCGGGACCGAAGGACGCCACGCGGCAAGATGTCGCGCAGGATTTTACCGTCAAATGTGGGATCGCGTGCGGATTTTTTTTTTTGCCTGGTTTTGTAGGCGAAGAGTGGCAGCCAGAGATCTTCACAGCGCGGAGGAAGGCCATTCGGCCCGTCGTGTCTGTGCGGGCTCTTTGCCGAGTGTCGCCCCGCAAAATATTCGGTCAAGTCACTTTTTTGCAGCATATTCTGTGAGACGTGATAAGGCGTTATATACATCAAATGCAAGGATTATTATTATTATAATTATTATTATTATTATTCGGAGTCCAAGTGTCCGAGACCGCGCACGATATTTTCCCCCAAACTCGTACACGCGGAAAATTGCACCGTGAAGGGCAAACGCTTCTTGTGCGCTCGCGTGCGAGCACCATTCTACAGCCCTGATCGGCGTTTTCGTCGCCCGCAGGCGTTTGAAGACATTTATATCGACAGCAAGAAGGTGGTGAAGATTCTGCTGGAGTACACGGACAAAGTCTTCACCTACGTCTTCGTGCTGGAGATGCTCCTCAAGTGGGTGGCTTACGGCTTCAAGAAGTACTTTACCAACGCTTGGTGCTGGCTGGACTTCCTCATCGTGGATGTAAGTATGAACACAGACGTCTCTTTCTCTCCTCCTCACTGTGTATCCATGACACGTCCATTTTATATATAATATATATATAGGTATCCCAACCCTCAGCTTAGGTGCACATCCCTGACTGTCCAGCGCCTTGGGACGTCCTCCCGACGTGAAAGGCGCTGTGTAAATGTCTCCTGTTGTTGTCATCACTGCGCCTTAGTCAGTCAGTCAGTAACTCTCTCAACCCCCCACTCCACCAGGCGAGAAGGTGGTGAGTTCGATCCCCGCCCCCCCACCAACCCTTTCCCCCGCCATGTCACAGCCCACCCTGATGCTCCAGTGGTATTGTAGGAGGCGTCGTCCTTCGGCTGTGCCACTAAAGCGCAAGGTCCGGTCTGCCCGGTTCCGCTGCGCGTTGACAACCCCCTCGGTGCTATTTTGGAAAGGGGAGGCGGTTTCTCCCGGTGTCCTGGTCGACGATAACTCCAAAAACACAATGGCTGCTTGTGGGGGCCCCGTTGGCGAGCTGCAAAATGGCTGCTGGGTTTCACGTGCAAAATGAGAGTTCCTCCGCACGGCGCTGCTCTCCCGAGAGAGTTTGATGTTCTCGGCCCTAAAAACGCAGCCTTCCGCATTCACGCGCTCCGAGGCCCTCCCCTGCGGGAAGGGCACCGTATAAACACGAGTCGTTGTTGAAGTTCTCCTACGACTTCTCCGGTCTGTCGGGTCGAAAACCCGTTATTGCGCACGTGAAAAAAAACACACACACACGAGTGTGGCTGTGAATACCGTTTGTTTTTCTTGTTGTTAACTTTGTTTGGCGTCCGTATGTCTCAATTGGATGTTTCCACGTGTGGCAGACCCTGCGCCTGGGGGAAAGGTTTCCTGGTTGCGCGCTCCGTCTCCCGCCTCCGACCGATCGCATCGCCTTTCGCCCATGAATCGATCCCTCATTCACGCCCTGGTCACCTCCTTCCTTGATTTCTCAAACGCTTTCGTCCCCGGTCTCCCAGTTCCTTCGTCCACAAAGCCCATCCTGTACAGAATTCTGTCGCCCGTGTCCTCACCGCTCACCAAACTCTCTACGCCCCCAGCACCCCAGTCCTCACCACGTACACTTCTCTGCCCCGCGTGAAAGGACCCGTATAAATGCAAGTTGTTGTTGTTCCTCCGGTTGATGTGCCCCAAGGTGGCTGCCTGGAGGCAGTACAGAGTAGAGTAATGAGGTTTATCTCTAGTGTTAGAGGAAGGAGTCCTTGGCCAAACTAGAAGTCTCCAGTCTTTCAAGGAGATGTGGAAATCCACAATGCTTGTCCACCTTAAGTCTATGTAACATCCATTTTCTGATCCAATCAATTTATTGAGGTATATATTTAGCTAAAGCCCTTTCAGGTGTTGAATTTATGGTAAAGTTGCCCACGTAAATGCCCACGTAAATGCCAACGTAAGTTGGCATTCTGCTGTTATCATTCGGGGTTGGATGGGAAAGAACCTTGCGTGTTAGAACGAGACCACGAGACCAAGGCGGAATGAGGCACGGACGCCAGCTTTGCTTGCGCCACAGTCTACGTCAAACCTACCTCTTATCATGCTCCCCGCCCACCCACTCCATCTCCCTGCGGGTGAGCTCTCCAACACGTCCTCCGATCTGCAACAGATGCTATAGAGTAAGCCGCAGAATGTGTTTAACTCCTGCAGTGTCCAGCCGCAGATCCTCAATGCAGAAGGACTCCCCGTCGGCACGTCCGACGATCCTGAATAAGTATCAACGGCGTGACGAGGGTGCCATTGTTATTGTGGTTATCCTTGCATTTGATACGCCGCCTTATCACGTCATCGAGACGTCTCAAAGCGCTTCACGGGATTTTACTGCGGAGCGTAGTAATGTCACAAAGTGATCCATTTTAGTTGAGTTGGCCAAGACCCCAGGATTATTTACTCTTATTGTACTGTTAAATTAGAATGCCACCACCACCACCTCCCTCCCCCGCTCCCCCCACCACCCCACACACCCACCCCACCACCCCGCTCGCCCCTCCCCAACACAGCATTAAGAGATGAGGAGGAGGTGGGGGGAGTTTGAAAGAGATCTTTTCACACAGATGGTTGCCAAAGGATGGAACGCTTTCTACAAGAGGTTGAGATCGTGAGAGCATATAAAACGGAACCGAATAACAACGACAACTTGTATTTGTATAGCGCCCCTTCGCCCTGTGCAGCGCCCCGGGGCGATTTGAATGTTGTTTTGCCCAGCCGGGTGTGGCTGACACGTGCGGAAACCCATCACCGTAGCAAAAGAGTCTCCAAACCAAACTGAGAATCCAGTGGATCCCAATTACACTTGGAAATCCAGAGATAGATTGTTGGAATGGGATGCGCTCTCTCTTTCTCTCTCTCTCTCTCTCTCTCTCTCTCTCTCTCTCTCTCTCTCTTCCTGGAGAGACCCCCCCCCCCTGCTTACCTAATTCCGGAGAGTATTAGGCGCAGGTTGCCAAGGCCAAGGCTTGTGGACCCCAAGAAGAGGAGCGGGATAAACGGGCCCAGGGAACTGGTTTTGAAGTGGAGAGCTCCAGCACTCGTGCTGGCTCAATCCACCTGCCACATACACACCATCGCGCCCGCATAATACGACGTCAATTCACTTTGGAGTCTATTTTGTGAAGCGCTTTGAGACGTGATAAGGCGCTGTATCAAATGCAACGATTATTACCCGCCCTATGTTCGCCTTGATCTGGATTCCCCTGAAATATCGGCTGGTGGGAGAGGGTTAAGCTGTTGTGAACAACGCTCAAGTGGGCGGTTGGTGGTGGAGGGCGGAGTGGGGGGGGGGTCTATAATTAACTTGTTATTTTAACACGTCCAAAGTGTTGCGTCAAGAGATACAGCGGCTCTGGGGTCAGTCTGATAATGAGAACCGTGTCGCCTGGACATTCCCTGTATAGAGAGAATCCTTCTGCTTCCCGAACCCAATGATGGACTGGACCAGACTGTTAGCTCAGTGGTTAGCGCATTCGCCTCGCAGGCGAGAGGACCCGGGTTCAATTCCCGGGCAGGGTGAGACCTTGGGCAAGTTTCCCTTACTCCACACGCACGCCTCTGTGTACCCAGCAGTAAGTAGGAACCCGGTTGTTAATCGATTGGCGGATCGCTTTCCAGGGGGTAATAATTTCCCCAAAAAAGATGTGGTCATTCAATCCACCACTGTTTGTGGGACCCCACAAATGGCTGCCCAATTTTGCCCACAAAATATACAGTTAGTCCTCTTTAACGGTATATCGCGTGAAGCGTTTGGAGATGTCTCAACCATTTGATGAAGTGCTTTGCAATCTCAAATGCGGCGTACTTNAAAAAAGGAAAACATTTGCCGGGCTGTGGGGTAAGAGTGGAGGGAGGGAGACTAGTTGGATAGCTGTCGCCAAGAGCTAGGCTCGGGCGCGATGGGCCGAATGGTGCTGTAAGATTCTATGATTCAATGCCAGGATTATTCTGATTATGATTATTATTATAACTCCATTCCGTTCGATCTTGTGCAGATCTCCGTGGTTTGCCTGTTAGCCACGGCTCTGGGTTACGACCAGTTGAGTGCTATGAAATCGCTCAGGACTCTGAGGGCACTGAGACCACTCCGAGCCTTGTCCAGATTTGAAGGCATGAGGGTAAGGCCACCTATACGTGTAGCTCTGTGACCATGTGGAAAGGCCATCGCCTTGAGGAACTCCTTAAAGCAGTGCAGGACCACAAATGTGCTGACACTCATGTGCTAACCCACCTCCCCATCTTCCCACTCTTCTGACTGTAAGTTGGCTTTCTTGACGGAGATGTGACTCCTCGCCTTCGCGGACTCACAAAACAGGACACGAGCAAACGGGGAGCCAGGTTGAATTACTCGGATTCACCCCCAATCACCCTCCACCCCAACCCCCCCCACCCCCACCTTGTCCATCTCCCCATTAAGAATCACCCACCATCAAAGTTATTACTGTCTGCGCTTATAGTCTTAAGTGTGGCACATGGAGTCTTAACCTCAGTTTGATGCACATGTTGTGGTGTATGGAAAAGGCGATGGGTGGGTGGCGGGGGGGGGGGGGAATCTCAAAGGCCATCTGAAGGCCAGGCCAAGATGGAGCACACGATGGGTTCACTCAATGGGCAGGTGAGCTCTCGCCTCGCAAGCGAGAGGACCCGGGTTTGATTCCCGGGCAGGGCAGGGCGACACGTTGGGCAAGTTTCCTTAATCCACACCCTCTTGTTTACCAGCAGTCAGTAGGATCCCGGTTGTTAGTCGATTAGCGGATCGGTTTCCCGGGGGTAATAATCCCTCCCCCACCCCCCAAAAAAATATATATTTTTAAATATTAATTTGGTTACTTAATCCACAGCTGTTTGGGTACTGCTTTGCGCAATCCAGCCGCTCCACAAAACGCTCAGTCAATTCGCTTTACAGCCTATCCTGCGAAGCGCTTCGAGACGTCTCGAAGGCATGATGAGGCGCCGGGTCAAACGCCAGGATTATTATTATTATTATTATTATTTGCACCAACTCCCGCTTTGTGCTATCTGATCCGTGGCCACAGCTGACGAGCGGTAACCGAGGAGGCTGTACCTCAGGACAGTACCGAGGTCACTGCGATGGAAACACGGTCTCGCTCAGTAAACAGCGAAATCTCCCCCCCTGTTAGCTCAGGTGAGAGAGAGAAAGAGAGAGAGAGAGAGCGAGAGCGAGAGGATCAGAGGAAGACGGTTGCTTTGGCAACTGGTAGCCGGGTTAATTATAGGGAGAGGGAATGGCGCTCCTCCCCTTTAATGTGGAGTTTGCCACCTGTCGGCTTCGGGTCCCTTTTGCCCCTCAGCCCATTTGGTCTCATCTCCAGAACAGCCGTCCAACCATCCGCCCATCATCGAGCTGCTGCTTAAAGGAACCCCTAAGGGTCTCGCCTCAACCACCCGTGCTGGCAACCCTGTTCCACTGTTAACTTCCCCTCTGGTGTCTTTGTCCCGAAATTTTAGCCCCTTTGCAACCCCCGAACGAGAGGAACCAGGTTTGTTTCCCCGGGCAGGCAGTGGGGGGCGAAACGTCAGCCAAGTTTCCTTACTCCACGCGCCTCTGGTTACCCAGCAGCAAGTAGGAACCCGATTGATAGTCGATCGGCAGATTGATTTCCGGGGAAATCATAATAAACTCTCTGAGAAACAAAACCTGGCCACTTAATCCACTGCTGTTCGCGGGACGCCGCTGCGCGTAATTGGCTGCCGCGTTTCGCCCACCCACAAAACCCGCAGTCAACTCATCTTACAGTATATTCTGTGGAGCGCTTTTCGACGTCTCGACGACGTGATAAAAGGCTTGTTCTGTGTCTGTCCTGAAATTGCTCCTGAACCTGTGCTCCAATGTCTTGCTGCCTTGGGGTGGGTGGGTGGGTGTTGGAGGGGTGGGATCTGAACATCAATGTTCTCGGTTTCCCTCCTCAATCAAGTTTAGGATTGCGTTTTCCTCGAAAAGGTCACTTCTGAGTTAGAAGGAGACACTGAGGGTTTACCGGACAACATGTGCGTAGGACTTTGGTTAAGGCTTTGTAGTCGCCTTTGTCAATTAATGAGANTTTTTTTTCCTTTCCCCACCTTTAACAGGTTGAAATAATAACCTTTTTATTGCTCCTTCTCAAAACAGGTTCCCTTAACTCTTCCCTTTTTCTTCTGTAAAGGGAACAAAAAAGTTTGTTGCCAATGGAAACAGTCCTCAGGTTTACGTGTTTGTGTTTCTTGCATTAGGTCTCTTTAGTCAGCCTGGCAGCTAATGCCCTGGGATATTCGGAACTAGGTGCCATTAAATCTCTACGGACCTTAAGAGCTTTGAGGCCACTCAGGGCCTTGTCACGATTTGATGGGATGAGGGTAAGACGGAGGAAAGCTCCTGAGACAACATGCGGATAAAGCATGTTGGGCAAATTGCATCCCCCTTGTTTCCTCTTCCCCCAAATCCCTCTCTGGCTCGTTTTCTCTCTCTCTCTCTCTCTCTTCCCCCCCTTTTCTCTCCCTCTCCCTCTCTCTCTCTCCTCTCCACCAAAACGGATGCAATTGTGTGTCAAGTAGTTTAGTCCTTTAGAAGGTTTCTAGTTTCACTCGTTTCTCATTGTGGGTTCCTCTTTGGTGGGAGAGCTGCCTTTACTGCTGTCGTCTGGAGCGAGGGCTGTTTCGTGTGAGCTCTACAGCGAGAGAGTGGGTTTTCCATTGCTGGGCAGACAGTAGGAGAGGGGAAGACCAAGTGAGAGTGTGGGCGGATGATGGGGAGAGAGATAAAGTCCTTCCTTAGTCCTGTTAGATCCCCTCGACCTCTCCAGAACACACCTACCCTACGGTACTCCCATCACAGGATCTGACTGCCCAGCACCTCGGGAAGTCCTCCCAACGTGAAAGGAACAACACAAACGTGACTTGTTTATTGTTGTCGTTGTTGTCATTCATTGCCACGCTGCTTCACGGTGAAAATACGTCGTTCGAAGCGCAGAGGAGTTTCGTTTCAAACTAGAGCGTCGGTGACGTAACAGATGTAACAGTAGAGGTACAACGACAACAACAATAAATTGCATTGATGGGAAGATGTCCGAAGGCCCGATCGAAAAGGAAAGGCTTGAGAGAGAGAGAGGGGGGGGTGGGGGGGGTGAGGCGGAGAGACTCAGAGGGTGGAGAGGCTAAAGGCCAGCGTCTAAAGAGAGAGGACAGGTCGGTGAACTTTTAATAGGTCGCAGAGGTAGGGAGGCCCGAGACGTAATAAGGTCCTATATAAGAGGCAAGGATTATTATTATTATGATTATTATCATAATAGAGAGGCTAAGCCTCACTGAGAACAAGAGTCACCGTCTGGCATTTCAGATAAGGCCAAAAGCCACACAAATGGCACGCATTTAGCCTCTGAGTTTGCGTAGGAGACGAGAGCCAGCCTCGATCCTCTGTGCTTTATACTGGGCACTCTATCTTCTGAGTACCGTCGGGCGTGTGGTTTTTTTTGCTTACATTGCTGTGTGACACGTACTGATGTGACGGATGACAAGCCAGAGTGTCTCGGGAAGCACAGCGGTCGTTTGCTAACCCAGTTCCCGAAACTCCTTCGAGAATAACCCGTGCTCCGTGCGGGAGAGTCGGGAGCATTCGCTAAACAGCGGCCCGCGCTCCTGTTACTTGAAGGAATCTCTGATACTCCTTTGTGGCTTCTTCTGCCCGCGTTCGATTACCACTCCGTGCGCAATTGGCTGCTGCGTTTCGCCCCCCAAAAAAAACATACAGTCGATCCACTTCACGGTGTATCCCGTGAAGCGCTTTGAGACGTCTCTCAATCACCTGATAAGGCCCCGTATCAAATGCGAGGATTATTATTATTATTATTATTATTTATGGGATCAAATGATCAGAAATTTCGCTCCGACGAACGGGAGGAGGGGATGAAAATTTCACCTCCAATGCCCCATATCAGAGACCGATGGTCCCGTTGCACACCCTGGCAGGTTATTTGTTTTATTTTATTTGTTGTTTTTCTTTTTTTATTATATTATTATTATTATTACTACTACTAATAATAAAAAAAAAGAAAAAATCGTCATTTTTATTCATTTTTTTTCTTAGCAATGACCATTCCGCATTGGAATAAAAGGTTTCGAAGAGCTAAATCGAATTGCGGGAGTTCCGGCCATCGATAACTCACGAATGCATTTAATTTCCATGACCGTGAATGGCCGTTGAGACGTGGTGTGGGGCGGTTAGAGTTGCCGGTTTCTGACTGTGAATTTGCAACCGCTTTCGACGGATAAAACTCACGCTTCGCTTTGCCTTTTCTCTCCCCTTTTCAATTTCAAAATGGGCCGCCCTCCGGTTCGTAAGGTCTCGCCCCCCCCCTCCACCCCCCCCCCCTCCAATGTACTCGCAGGAAGCGACATCTGCCGGGACCTTACAACCCGGAATTCGGCTGTTTTTTTTTAGGGGTTGGGGGGTGGGGGATGGGGGGGTGGGGGTGCAAATCAAACCCGAAATCGAACCACGTTTCGATGAGCAAAGCAACCATTGTTTAAGGTTGGGAATTCATTTCCCGCGATTTGGGGGAAATCAGCAAACCCGACGAATAAAGATTTCTGCCGATTAAAATCAGAAACCGGCAAGCCTAAGTGCAGTAAAGGCTTTTTTTTTTTTTTTGCTTGCCTGAATTTCATTAGTAATAGTTAATAGATTGCAGTTGTAATCTCGTTTCTCTCTTTCCCGATGTTATACTGTGCTGGAAGGCGGTAAAGGTTGGGAAAAAAAACCAAACGGCTTTGAGTCAATGGCCAGAGACCAGGGCATCACTTTGAGATGGTTAGCGATCGAGCAAATGGGGAGGTTAGAGTTGTTTTCACACAGGGTAGTTAGTGCCTTGAAAGGTAATATACAAATGTCAATTTTGTATTGTATTAGGATATGTAATGCCCTACCAAGATTATTATTATTATTATTATTATTATTATTATCATCAGATTGATGGTCGAGGCAGAACCCACATTTGAATCCACACCGGGTGTCCACAAAGACATGTTACCTCCATTTGGTGGTTTTGTTTTCTGCATTGCGCGTGTGTGTGTGTGTGTGTGCGTGAGTATATGTGTGTGTGTGCGTGAGTGTGAGTGAATGAGTGTGTGAGTGAGTGTGCGTATGAGTATGTGAGTGAGTGTGTGTGTATGTATGAGTGAGTGTGTGTGTGTGACTGAGTGAGTGTGTGTGTGTGTATGAGTGAGTGAGTGAGTGAGTGTATGTATGAGTGAGTGTGTGTGAGTGTGTGTGTGTATGCGTGAGTGTGTGTGAATGAGTGTGTGTGTAAGTGAGTGAGTGAGTGAGTGTGTGTGTGTGTATGAGTGAGTGAGTGTGCGCGTGAGTGTGTGTGAGTGTGTGAGTGAGTGCCATCATTTTCATAGTATTCATTTTCATAGTGTTCCGGGTCCACGGAACACGATGGAGTGAGGAGGTGACGTGTATCTCCTGGAGCTTGTTTCAGCTCCTCCGCAGTCTCATGTTCGCTGTCACGGGGGGTAAGAGGGCTTTGTGGACACCCTTTAGATAAATCCAGGAAAAGGAGACAACAACAAGGGAATGGGGAACGGGCAGGGAAATGGGACTGAAAGGGCTGCAAATTTCTATAGGTAAAATAGATTAAAGTGATCGTTATGAAGCTTTGCTCCAAAAGGCAACAGAGGAGGGAGGGAGGGAGGGAGAGAGGGAGGGAAGAGAGGGAAAGAGGCAGTAGATAGAGGTGACCAGAGGGGTGCAGATTGAACAGATTGCCGAGCTCAATTTTGCGGTATTTCCTAACGATTTCCTAATTAGGAAACTCGGAGTGTGGGCTATTTTAGGAACTGGGACTGCGTCGCTCAGCTTAGAGGGAATATCCAACCACCTCCCTCCCCCTCTTTTTTGCCCCCCTCCTTCTCCTCCCGCTCCGAAATTAGATTAATGCGGCAAAATCGACCCCGCGATGCTTTCCCCCCTCCCCCACCCACCTCCCCACCACCTCCCCTCCTCCCCCCCCACCACCCCCCCCCGGCCCCCCTCATTTGAGTAGATGTGTAACGCTCTTCCTCGAATCTGGATTAGGTGGTGGTCAATGCCTTGATCGGGGCCATCCCCTCCATCATCAACGTCCTCCTCGTCTGCCTCATCTTCTGGCTGATCTTCAGCATCATGGGAGTGAACCTGTTCGCAGGGAAATTCTACAGGTGCAAGAACATGACCAGCGGGATCCTCCTGCCCGTCCACGACGTCAACAACAAGACCGAATGCCAGGCCCTGAATAACACCGACATCCGATGGATCAACGAGAAGGTCAACTTCGACAACGTCGCCTTGGGATACCTCGCGCTCTTGCAAGTGGTGAGTTTTCTTTGGCCGGGACTTAGAGCGCCCGAGGATGGGGGGTTGGGGAGTGGGGTTGGGTGGGTGGGGGGAGGAGGGTGGGTGCGAGACCTTAGGGCAAGTCTCCTTTCGTTACTCCGCACGCACTCCCCCCACCCCCCCACCACGTCTTCTAGTCGATTGGCGGACGGATCGCTTTCTTGGGGGTAATTCTCCCTCCGCGTTAAGATTAATAATTAACCGAATCCACGACTGTTTGCGGGACTCCGCTGCGCGCATTTCGCCTGCTGCGTCTCGGCCGCGAGTTATACGGTCGGTTCGCTTGACAGGAGCGCTCGGAGACGTCTCAACGACGCGACAAGGCGCTGTATCGGATGCAAGGTTATTATTGTCGTTTACTTTGGCCACACACACGCACACACACACACACACACACACCCACACGCACACACACACAAAACCCTTCGGACTCACGAGACAAGGATTGCTTTCAAACGCTGACGCCTATAATAACTAAAAATAAGTCGACTCGACTGTAAGATACACGGATGTGGTTCTACGCTCTTGTCTGTTAGTCGTTGCGCTGTTCGCACCTGCCCCCCACCCCCCCCTTTCCCTCCCTCTCAAGTGACTAAATATTTGCCTGCATATTTCCGCTCCTCGTGAGTGAGATACAGTCATCCGGTGCAGTTCTGACACAGGTGTGGGTGTGTAACTCAAGAGAGAACGCGGCTGCAGTTTGAATAGCTTTCATGTTCGCCCCTCACAATACGCGCAATCACACGACAACTTGATGGCCGTCACATCGAGCCCCCCCCCCCCCCCCGGGACACTCCCCTGCATGAGGGGCGTGATATTAAATGCAAAATATAGATGATATCAGGACTGGCATAGACTGGCTATATTGTGCCTTTAGTCGCTAGGGGTAGAGACTTTTCTCGGTGGATCTAACAGAGGCGTTTAAAATTATAAAGAGGTTTGACGGACTACAGGGTCGGGCAGAGCGACGGCAGATGCAGTTTAATGTGGAAAAGTGTGATTTTTGTTTTTTTCTGCACACTTTGGAAGGAAGAATCGGGAGAGGACGTGTAAAGTTTCGGTGTTTTGCGAATGGTAGTGTTTTAAAAGGGCAGAGAGCCTTCGGGGGATAATGCAGGTGAATCACTGAAGGGGTATAGAGAGGCACGTGGCACAAAGCCGTCGGTGATTACAAAACAAAAAAATGATGAACGATCCTTGAATTTGGTATAACGCCTTTCACGTTGTGAGGACATCAAAAGCACTTCACGGGATTTATGGTGACGTGTTTGTAAGATAACTCCACTGCAAGTTGGTGTGTGTTTGTAAGATAACCGTGACAGCAACCTCCCACAGACAGCCATGAAGTGAGTGACCAATTTTATTTGGTGGGGGCGGGGGGGGAATTGGCCAGGAGAGCGGGACAGAGAGAGAGAGAGAGAGAGAGAGAGTGAAAAATCTCTTCTCTTTTCAAACAGTGAGACCTTTAACGTTCACCTGTACAGGAAGATGGGACCTCGGTTTAAGGTCTCACTGAAGAACAGCACCTCCGATAACCCCCCTCTCCCCACCACCACCACCCCCCCCCCACCCCCAGCACTGCATTGGAGTGTCAACTTCGGCTGCGAGTTCATGTGCCGACGTGGGGCTTGAACCCACAAGCTTTTGACCCGGAGGCAGGAGCGCGGCCACTGAGCCAGGCCGACATCCGAGTATTTTTGCGTTACAACTCCGACGAAAGGTCTCGAAATGCTTCGCCGGCGTTTACCGCTAAGCGAAGTGACCACGCAAAGGCGCTATTCCCGCGCACGTTGTATTGTATTATAATACGAGGCGTAACGTATAAGTCTGGGCTGTATCGTATAAATGCAGGTCCCCGTTGCAAAAATATCATGGATATTTTATCACGAGGTGGCTTCGCACGGTTGGTGATTGAGCAATGCTAAGGCCCCTTTCACCTGATTACCTTATCGCGGTTCGAATGGCTGGGCAAATTGATTTATTAATATTATTGTGTATCCTGGCAACCGGCTTCCTCGGTATCTGCCGCCCCTTTCTGCTCCCGAGTAACAATGCAGACAGAACGCAGCATTTGCATTTAAGAGGCATTCAATCGCCCATCTGCGCGGCGCGGTCTAAAATTAACACCGTTGACAGCGAAGCAAACAGAGGTGGTTAGCAGTGATATCGCCCGCCTTTGTTGCCTGGCGTGTGGGTCGCTTTGTTTGGAATAACTTACTGCTGGCCCCGACCATAGCTCCAGCCTCCCTCCCTCCCTCCCTCCTTCCCTCCCTTCCGCGTCTTGATGGAGGAGATCTCCCAACAAGTGGAGTGTGTGAAGCATTTCAGTTGCGGCGGAGTCCCTGTAGCTTATGTTGCAGAGAGCTCGCCTCGCAAAGCGAGAGGACCTGGGTTCGATTCCCGGGCAGGGCGAAACATTTCCTTTCTCCGCACGCCTCCGCTCACCGAGCAGTGAGGAGGAAGCTGGTTGCTAGTCGATTGGCGGATCGCTCTTCCTTCAAGCAAAATAATAATTTGCCCGCTCGCCCCCGCGGCTGTTTGTGAGTCGCTGCCGGGCGCAATCGGCCGCCGCGTTTCGCCCACAAATATACACAATCAACTCACTTTACGGTGTATCCCGCAAAGCGCTTTGGGTCTTGAAGATGTGATAAGGCGCTGCATTGAAGGCAAGGATTATTATTACGTGGCAAGTCTTCAGCTCCGTGGAGAGCTTCGAGACGTCCTCCCGATGTGGAGGGGGCTTACACGAGTGTGTGGGTGGGGGGGGGGGTGGGCGGGTGCTGTTGTATTGTCGGAGGTACCGTCCTTCCTATGAGACATTAAAACAAGGTCCTATCTGCCTGTTCAGGTGGAGGTGAAACATCCCGGGGCACAATTCAAAGAGAGGTTACCCGCGATAAAACTGATCACTCGCTTCATGGCTGTTGGTGGGATGTTAATTGCAAAGTGGCAGCTGTGGTTCGCCTCCAAAATACACGGTGGCTGTTCTGTGCGGAGGTTTGCGAAGCGGTGTTCAGGGGCTGCATTAAATGAAAGGGTTGTTATGTAAGTTCCAGCTGTTGACATCTCTCCCTTTTGATCTTTTCCAGGCAACTTTCAAAGGTTGGATGAGCATAATGTACGCTGCTGTCGATTCCCGAAACGTAAGGAAATGGACCTTAAATACCTTACCCACCGGGAGTAATGATCCCCCCCCCCGCCCCCCCTCCCCCCCCCCCCCCTCCCCCCGCCACCCCCCCCAAAAAAATGGACGTCACTCAATCCGCGACTGATCGTGTAGGGGACACTGCTGTGCGTAATTCGCCGCCGAGTTTCGCCCACGAGATACACGGTCAATCCATTTTGCTTCACAGTATATTCTGTGAGGCTCGTTGACGTGATAAGCCGCCATATCAAATGCAAGGATTATTATTATTTATTATTATTACCTTCAAATGCAACCATTGTTTTTTATTTATGGTTTGACGCAGTTGAACGAACAGCCGGAATACGAGTACAGCAAGTACTGGTACCTGTACTTTGTGATCTTCATCATATTCGGCTCGTTCTTCACTCTCAACCTCTTCATCGGTGTCATCATCGACAACTTCAATCAGCAGAAGAAGAAGATAAGTATCAAAACCCTGATTTATTCCTGGCTCAGTTATCGTAGAATCCTACCGCTCAGAAGGAGGCCATTCGGCCTATGGTGCCTGTGCGTCCCTCTTTGGAAGAGCTCCCCAAATCAATTCCACTCTGCCCCCCCCCCCCCACCGCGCTCTTACCCCCAAAGACCCTGCAAACGTTTTTCTTTTCAAGTAAATATCCAATTCCCTTTTCGAAAGTTTATTATTGAAATCTTTACAGTGATTGATTTGAAAAAATAACTTGGCCTTTTTGTTTTCTTCCCCTGTACCTTGGAGGTCAGGACATCTTCATGACGGAGGAACAGAAGAAGTATTACAATGCTATGAAAAAGCTGGGCTCAAAGAAGCCCCAAAAGCCAATCCCAAGACCTTCGGTAAGCCCAAGAGTGAACGAAGCTCCCCAGGACGACTTTGTATTGGAGTCATGGAGTCCTGTAGCTCAGTGGTTAGAGCGCTCGCCTCGCAAGCGAGAGGACCCGGGTTCGATTCCCAGGGGGGAGAATTCCGTGCATCCTACCTACACGTGGAAATCCCACGATAGAGATAGATGGAATGGAATGGGCTCTCTCCCTCTTTCTCTCTCTTTCTCCCTGGAGGGACACATCCCGCTTACCTAATTCCGGAGAGCATTAGGCGCAGGTGGGCGAGAGCCAAGGTTGGGGGGGGTGGGGGGGAAGCCCAGGGAGTGCGTTGGGTGGAACTGCTGGAGTCTAACCAGATAAAACTAAGGGATGTGTAGACAAGTGAGACAGTGGAGGTACTAGCCTCATGGAGCCTAGAGTAGAAAAGACTGTAGTCACAGTCCAACTCACATATGGTGTTTGTTTTCTTCCCCCCCCCGCCCCCCACACCCATCGGCCTCCCCTCACCCACCCCCCCGGTGCAGAACAAATTCCAAGGCCTGATCTTTGACCTGGTCTCGAAGCAAGCCTTCGACATCATCATCATGATCATGATTTGCCTGAATATGGTGACCATGATGGTGGAGAGCGACGACATGGACAAGCAAACCATCAATATCCTCTTCAACATCAACATAATCTTCATTGTCATCTTCACCACCGAGTGCACCCTCAAACTCGTCGCCCTCCGGCAGTACTTCTTCACAGTGGGTTGGAACGTGTTCGATTTTGTGGTGGTTATACTCTCCGTTGTTGGTAGGTTAATGAATCGCACTTGCCAATAGACAACTCGCCTTGTTATCTCTGCTTCAAATCCTTCCCCTCCCAACCTTAAGACCCCGGAGTTCTGTAGGGCAGTGGGTTGGAGCACTCGCCTCGCAAGCCAGACTCCTGGGCAGGGCGCAAGGTAAATTTCCTTACTCCACACGCACGCCTCTGTTTACATAGCGGTAAGTAGGAACACGGTTGTCTGTCGATTGAGAGACATTCCTGCCACATATACACAGTCGCTACACTCTACAACATATCCTGCAAAGCGCTTCCAGGCATTTTGACCCTGCGATAAAGCACTGTGTCGGAGGTAAGGATTATTATTATTACTATTATCTCTGTGACCGTGCGTTATACTGTAAAGCGTAGTGACCGTGTATTTTGTGGGCGAACCGCGGCAGCCAACAATCGCCCGCAGACGTGCCCCACAAACAGTCGTGGATTGTGTGACCAAATTATTATTATTATTATTATTTTTTTTCCTCTCTCCCTCCCTCCTTATCGGGGGATGATTTCTTCGCCCGGCGTATTGTTGGGACGGGTTCCAAAGTTGACTGAGGCTTTACATTAAAGTCGTGTAATCTGCTTAGGTTCAACCTAATCCTTCAAAGACCAAAAAGGTCTGCTTAAAGCCAATCGAATCGAAAGGATTCGTATTTTTTTTTTTTTTTTTTTTGCCTCTCTGTTGTTACGTGCATTATTTTATCTTGTTAGTGAAATCTTCCCTTCATCCAGCAATGCAATCTTCTCCGTCAGCCAGGCTCAGTCAGTCAGTAGCGCTCTCTGCCCCCCCCCCGGAGACTCGGGGGGGTGGGTTTCGATTGCAGGCCGAGACCTTTAGCCAACGATCCAACGCAGCACTGACGGACGTGGAAGAGAGGTGGGGAGGGGAGGGGTAATGCTGCTGTGAGCGTTGTGGAGCGAGAGGACCCGGGTTCGATTCCCGGCCAGGGCGAGAGAAACCTGAGGCAAGTTTCCTCGCTCCACACACAAGCCTCGGCAGTCAGTAGGAATGCCGGGATGGTGGAAAGCGAACTGTCCAGCTGTTCTTATGTTTTATGGTTGCGATCCCACTTGACCTCCGCATTATACCGTGTGTATGTGTGGTGGGTTAGAGAGTGGGTGTTGGTGGGGGTGGTGGGGGGGGCAAGTGTGGCACTAGACAGGATTTGCTTCCCCAGTGGGTTAGACCCGCTGGTTTACTCTCTGAACGGTGTGTTCCGCAGCAACATTCTGCGGAAGGAATCCGGTTGAGAGCTGCGGGTGTGCGGGAAGGGAAGCCGGTCGGAATCTCGCCCCGGCCCTCTTTAACGGCTTTGCCGCAGCGAAAGCAGAACTGAAGCCTTCGACCCGACGAGGAATAGATTTTCATTAGGACTAATAGCGGCTTAAACTTTTCACATGCGAGTTACTAAGTTTCGAGCTAAGCCCCGTCACCCCCGCGGGCAAAACAAATGATTGTTTTTAATCGAGGTAAATAAAGCCTCCTGTCTGCCAGAGGCCAATCCGATGGGTGACCGGTGACGCGACACAGATGTGGCCCTTTCATCCGTTTATGTTTTCAGCCCCACGTCAGTTCACACGCGCGGGCAGGCAGACTGCCGACACAGCCTCCCTGCCGTCAGGGGGCACATTGAAGCAGCTGAACCGTTAGGCCCCTCACTCCGCCTCGCAAGGAATAAGGCCGGCATTTGATACAGCGCCCGATCACTTCTCAAAGCGCTTCGCAGGGTACACCGTAAAGGGAATTGACTGGATATTTAGCCTTGCTCCCCCTCTTTGCCCATCTGCAGGTCGCACCTGAAGACTTTGCTCTTTGACCGTATCACCTCCTGTTCCTCTTCCGCTCGGAGTCAACCTTCCCCATTATTAAGGGTCTACCCTGAGACTCTGCCCCCACACCAACTGCACTGTATCAAGTTGTTGTTGTGACCGTGTACGTTGTGGGGCGTGTAGAGGGAGGCAGTGGGGGGTGGGGGGGGGTTAAAGAGGGTGTCATGTTGTCCAAGTCTTCAGAGATGTCGTCCTTCAGATGAGATGTTAAACGTGGAGTCCCGTAGCTCGGTGGTTAGAGCGCTCTCGCCTCGCAAGCGAGAGGACCCGGGTTTGATTCCCGGGCGGGTCAGGGGGAAGGAAACCTTAGGCAAGTTTCCTCACTCCACACGCCTTGGTTTACCCGGGTAATAACCCCCTTTAAAAATCCACGACTGTTTGTGGGACACTGTTGTGTGGAATTGGTTGCTGTGCTTCACCCACAAAATATATGGTCAATCCACATTACTATATGTTCCGTGAAGCTCTTTGAGACTGCTCAGCGACATAATAAGGCGGGATATAGTTTGTGGGCGAACTTGACAGCCAATGTCCCACAAACATGTCGCCGGGTGGCTGGGTTGGGGGGAGGTGGTGGTTGGGGGGGGTGGGGTGGCATTATGTGGTGTGACCAACCTCTCGGGTGGGCAAGCAACAGAGGTGACAACAACAACAATGTCCCGAGGCGCTGGACAGTCAGGGATTTGGACCCGAGCTGGTGGTTGGGAATCAGGAGGGGGTGGAGGTCGGGGAGGGCAGGGGGTAGGAGGGTCACAGGGGAGGGTCTTGAGATGGGACTTGAAGGAGGCGAGGTTAGGTGACAGTGGCAATGATCGCGAAGCCCCCAGTGACCCCCCTTCCCCCCCCCACCCGCCCCCTCTCCCCGGGGATCAGTCTGCGTATTAATTGCCACCGTTAATTACCGTTCGTTCCAAATGCAGGCAGTGATTTTGGATCGAGTCTCGGAGTTGAATAACGCCCGGGTTGTTTCACCATCCCTTGTCCGCAGGTCTGGTCCTTTCCGATCTGATCATTAAATACTTTGTGTCGCCCACTCTCTTCCGAGTCATCCGGCTGGCCCGTATCGGACGTATCCTTCGCCTTATCCGGGGGGCCAAAGGAATAAGGACCTTGCTGTTTGCCTTAATGATGTCCCTCCCCGCCTTGTTCAACATCGGTCTGCTGCTTTTCCTGGTCATGTTCATCTACGCCATTTTCGGCATGGCCAACTTTGCCTACGTCAAGAAGGAAGACGGAATCAACGACATGTTCAACTTCGAGACCTTCGGCAACAGCATGATCTGCCTGTTCCAGATCACCACCTCCGCAGGGTGGGACGGTCTCCTGAGCCCCATCCTCAACAGCGACCGCCCGGACTGCGATCCCACCATGGTTCACCCGGGCAGCACCGTCAGGGGCAACTGTGGCAACCGGTCCGTGGGCATCTTCTTCTTCGTCAGCTACATCATCATCTCCTTCCTCATTGTGGTCAACATGTACATCGCCATCATCCTGGAGAACTTCAGCGTGGCCACGGAGGAGAGCTCAGAGCCTCTGAGCGAGGACGACTTCGAGATGTTCTACGAGGTCTGGGAGAAGTTCGACCCCGAAGCCACCCAGTTCATTGCCTACAAGGCCCTGTCCAGCTTCGCGGACGCGCTGCAGGAGCCCCTGCGCATCGCCAGGCCCAACAAGATCAAGCTGATCACAATGGACCTGCCCATGGTGAGCGGGGACAGGATCCACTGCCTGGACATCTTGTTTGCCTTCACCAAGCGGGTGCTGGGCGAGTCGGGGGAGATGGACGCCCTCAAGCTCCAGATGGAAGAGAAGTTCATGGCCGCCAACCCTTCCAAGATCTCCTACGAGCCCATCACCAGCACCTTGAGGCGGAGGCAAGAGGAGGTGTCCGCCATCGTCATCCAGAGGGCCTACCGCAGGCACCTCCTGCGACGCTCCATGAGACAAGCTTCCTTCCTGTACCGGCACCGAGCCAGCGACTGCGACTTCCTCGCGGAAAGCGCCCCGGAGAAGGAGGGGCTGATCGCGGCCATGATCAACGAGCACTACGGCCCCAGGACAGAGCCGGTGGACACCAGCTTGTGCATCTCGTCCCCTCCCTCTTACAACAGCGTGACCCAGGCCGCGGGCTGTGGGGCGGGGGCGGAGGAGGAGGAGAGCTCCGAGCAGGTCGAGGGCCGAACGGACTCTTTTACGGAGAGGACCCCCGGCAGAGACAGGGAGTCTTTGGTGTGAACTTGGGGTTGGTGGGGGGGTGGGGGGGGCTGCGCACAGAGACCGACTGTGGGGGGGTTGGGAGGGTTGGTGGGGGGAGGGAAAGGGGGGTGAAAACAGAAGGGGGCAAAAAACAAACACTAAGATATATATACATATACATACACATACATATATATATAAAAAAAAGATGTCTTGTTTACAAAAAAGAGGTTTCCAATCGAAATGACTTGAAGACGATCCAACGCCACTGCGTAGCGGAACAGCGGAAGGTGAAGTGGTCGGGCGCCGAGAGCGAGAGAACGAGAGAGAGCGAGAGAGAGAGAGAGAGAGAGAGAGTGTGAGTGAGTGAGCAGGTGTCAAAGCCCAAGCCGTTAGCGGGCGGCGGGGGGAGTGTTTGGTTGACCTTCTGCTGCTGCCGCTGTGTGTTTTTTTGGGGGTGGGTGGGGGTTGCGGGCTTTCACGGTCCCCGATTGAACCGGAGCGAGACCGCGAGGGGCACGACTCCCTAACGCCGAGTGACTTTTGAGCGACTGCGACTCTTGAACACCCCCCACCCCACCCCACCCCACCCCACCCGTGTCTTACGTCGTGAAAGCCTGGAGGGAGTGGCGGTGGGAGCGGCGGGCGGGAGGGGCGGGTGGGGGAGAGAGGGGTGTGAGAGAGAGAGAGAGGGAGAGAGACAGAGAGAGCGAGGGGTTGGGTTAGGGGGTTATGGGGCGGGTGGAGGGGGGAAATGCAATGTATCACTTTTTCACGACGATTTCGGTGACTGTCTGCGTTTTTCGGAAACCCTATCATATTGAAGTGTCTCCCGCTGGTTAAAGTAGCAAAAATCTCGCGTTAACATTATCGTAACCTCCTGCCGTAGCGGAAAAGAAATTGTACAACACTTAATGGCGTATGTTATGGCTCTTTCATAAATTTATTATTATATTTGATATTTTTCTACTCAAGCATGTGATTGATTGTCTGTTTGTCCGACAGGATTCCCCCGTTGGGTTTGGGGGGGTGGTTTGGGAGGGGGGGGTGGGTGGGGGGGGGGGGGAGCGAAGGGGCTGGGGTGCGGGGGGGAGAGGGGTGCGGTGGGGGGAGAGAGAGAGAGACAGAGAGAGAGAGAGGGTCACAGTCCGCTTCACGTCCGTTAATAAAGAATATTGAGCATCGCAGCAGGTTCAGCCTCTAATTAAGTCTCGCACAGCAACAGTCGGGATCTGTGGCTCGGTTAATGAACCCCCCCACTCCCCCCCCCCCCCCCCCCCCAGGTCTCTGGGGTGGGAAGTGGGGGTGCGGAGGGGAGGGTATGAATAAGGGGGAAACTCTTCCCCAACTCACGACCTGTCCAGTCAGCCCGCACTCGCGTCCAGCCTCCGTTTACCCGGCGGTCAGTGGGAACCCCGGTCGTTAGTCGATTGATGGCGGATCGCTTTTCCGGGGGGTAAATGATCCCTTCAAAATAAATAATGAGCATAATCCGGTCGCTCGCCAAAGCCACGGGTGTTTGGGGGGGGGGGGGGACGCCGTTGGGCGCAATCGGCTGCCGCGTGTCGCCCAGAGAACACACAGTCAATTCGCTTTACGGTATATTCTGTGAAGGGCTTTGATGGGGGTGGGGGTGGGGGGGGGGTGGGTGGGAGGGGGTCGAGCTTTACGCACCAAGGTGTCTTCTTGCGGACATCAGATTTAACAGTTTGAGCGCCTTTCTCAAACCCCCCCCCACAAACCCCTGCCACCACCACCACCATCATCATCATCATCCTCACCCTCCCTTCTGCTGCGTTGATGGCGACATGTTTTTAAGCGCTTACTGTTCTGCAATCGATTGCTGGTTGATCAGATCTGTGCCGGTCCACTCAATCACTCAATCAATCAATCAATCAATCAATCAATCAATCAATCAATCAATCAATCAATCAATCAATCAATCAATCAATTAATTTTCTTTGCAGGTCAAAGGAAGGTCAGGTTTGAGAGTGAAAGTGCCGGGTGCTGGAGGTGACTGAGGGCTGACGTGTCAATTTAGTGGGCCCCTTTGTGGGGGGGCGGAGGTTGGGGGTGCGCTTTGAGCTCACAGTCCAGGCTGACACTCCATTGCAGCGCTGGGGGTGGGGGGGGGGGGGGGGGGTCGTCTTTCGGATGAGACATTAAACCGAGGTCCCGTCTGCACTTATTCGGGCGGACGTTAAAAAGCACAGTCACTACACTTCCCAGTGAAATGGTGTGAAGCGCTTTGAGGCGTTGTATTAATCACCCTCCTTCCCCTGGGGAATTACAGTGGATGCAGGAGGGAGAGAGAGAGAGAGAGAGGGAGAGAGAGAAGTTAGACGATTTGAGGGGGCGGGAGGGGGTGGGGGGGGTCTCGTGGGGGTAAAGGAGGAGTGAACAGAGAGAGGTCCATCAATTAGTCTTTGTTTTGTAACCGTAGGACATTGCCGTGTGCAACTGTGCTGCCGGGTTTTGCCTCCAAATGTGCAGTGGGGTGGGGGGGGGAACTGGGATTAAGAATAACATTTGAGATTAAGACGGTGGGGTCTGCAAATTGCGGTATTTCCTAACGGGATTGGTTGGAATGGAGGAGGGAAGATGATCGAAGGTGGGGTCGAAGGGGAAATGGGGTGGGGGGGGGGGGGGTTCCCAGCTCCTGAAGGACGTCACCAAGGAACTCGGTTTGGATCCCGATCCACTTCCGGATCGAAGCTCCCCTGAGACTTTGGGAGATCTGTGCCTACGGTATCCCGTTAGGAAATCCCGCAGATTTGCCCCCACAATCTGTCAGACTAACGCAAAGCTCAGAGGAATGGCGGAGGCCATTGGGTCGGTCGAAACTGTTATCTCCACGGCATAACTTTCTATCTCTCTGTCTGTCTGACTGACTGTCTGTCTATGAATTCACATCATATTTCTGTCTCTATCATTTTTTTCTCCTTCTCTAACATGTCTATCTCTATCGTCTCTCTCTCTCTCTCGTATCTCACTATATTGCTCTCTTATCATATTTCAATCCCTACGAACTCTCTCTCTCTCTCTCTCTCTCTCTCACTCTCTCATCTCTCTCTATCTCTCCCCCTTTCCCGTACGGTTTTATTTCTGTACACAATTCTGGAAAAAAAAACGAAATCGAGCTTTTTAAGAAAAGAATTGTTCATTAAAAAGTGAACTGTTTAAACCGGAGTCTTATTCTCTGCTTATTCTCCTCGCTTGACGTTCAGCAGTAAACACGAACCCGGTTGTTAGTCGATCGGCGGATGGCTTTTCCGGGGGATGATAATCCCCTTCCAAATAAATAATAATAAAAAATTGGTCACTTCAGTTCACGGCTGTTTGTGGGGGACGCTGCTGCGCGCAGTTGGCCGCCGCGTTTCGCCCACAAAATATACAGTTAATTCACTTTACAGTGTGTTCTGTGAAGCGCTTTGGGACGTCCTCCCGACGTGAAAAGCGCTATATCAAATGCAAGGATTATTATTATTATAAGACGCTGTATCAAATGCGAGGATTATTATTATTGTATACGAGTCCCACAAACCCCAGACAGGAACCCCTGAGAGACCGTTTGCCTTAAGACCACACAGAAATGTGGAGAATTCTTAAATCAAGTCTTTTACTTTATAAATTGCTTTCCAAAGTCTCTGAAGGTAACGTTTTCTTGGGTGAAGCCGGGCATCTGACACGTGTGGAAACCCAGGGCTGTGATCAGGAGTATTCAAACCGGACTGAGAGCCATCAGGTGCAGGATGGCAAGAACCAAGGTTTAAGGAGGACTCCAGAGGGAGTGTTGGGGTAACTGCTGGTAACTGCTAACTAACCAGCTAAACCTACAGTCTCTGGGGGCAGGGAATCCTCCCCCTCAGCTCCTGGTAACCCCGCAGCCAAAGCCCTAACTAACTAACTAACTAACTAACTAACTAGCGGGGAGGGGGGTCCGAGGCCGGACAAGCAGCGGGAAAGCTTGGCCGGACAGCGCTCTCGATGGCCGAGCTGTGTGTGGGTTTAACTGGTTAGACTCCAGCAGTTACCCCAACGCACACTCTGTCCCCCCCCCCTCCCTTCCCCCCCAACCTGCGCCTAATACTGTCCGGAATTAGGTAAGCGGGGGACGTCCCTCCAGGGAGAGAGAGAGAGAGAGCGCATTCCATTCCAACCATCTTATCTCTGGGATTTCCAGGTGTAGGCGGGAGGCGGGGAATTCTCAGTTAAGCACCGGTGATGGGTTTCCGCGTGTCAGACGTCTGGCCGACCCCCCCCCCACAAAGAAATGAGGCCGTGCTGGATAATGTTGGGAGTAATTGACCCTGAGTCTTGTCTGGCTGTCCGGGTGTCTGCAAAAGATCCCTCGACACTATCCTAAAAGAGAAGAGAATTTCTCTCTCCCGGTGTCCTGGCCAACCATCTCCCACTATCGTGGCTGTTTGTGAGACGTTGCGGTGTGAAAATCAGCTTCCACGTTCGCCTACCGAAACACACGGTCACTACACTTTCCCGTTAAAAATCCCCGTTAAGCCCATCGAGGGGTTGAAAGGAGCCGTCGCGAATGGATGGTGACAAAGCCGAAAGAGACGAGAGAATTACTCCGGTGAGCCGGCAGGAAAACGTGTTGGCACGAGGAAATTAAATAAGATTTAATTGAGGCGATGACGTCCGGGGGGGGATGCAGTGCGTAGTTTGGGACGTGACACGTGCCAGCGAGAGCCAGGGCGATGGAAGGCGAACCGGATGGACCTCGGTCTTCTTTCGTCCGGCAAATTCTTACGTTCCTACCAACAGGCGACTGACGAGAGCGAAGCCACTTTCAGTCAATTCCTTTCCATCGTACTCTGGAGACGCACGGACCAGCCCCGCGGAGTTCCCATCCCCGACAGGACAGCAAAGCAAAGCAAAGCAAAGCAAAGCGTGGGAGCTGTCGCCAGCCTTAAACGGCACTTTGACGATCAATTATCCAAATGCGTTTGCATTTTGTCTCTCGCGTCGAAGGAGGAAAGTGCTCTCTTCCGCTCTGGGAAATGCAATAAACGGCTCGAAAG